CATTGTGGTAAACTGTGGTCAATGACATGAGACAAAGTATATGTGAACTGCTGTATGGAAAGTGAATTTGCTCTGTAAATCTTCACCCAAATCACAATTTAAAAAAAAAGAAGAAGAAGGGACCATTCCCTGGAGAAGGGTATCATGCTTGGTACAGTGGAGGATCAGCAAGAAAGGGGACGACTTTCAACCAGATACATTGACATAGTGTGCAATGATGGGCTCAGGTATAGCAGGGATTGTGAGGATGGCGCACGCCCAGGCAGGGTTTTATTCTGTTGTACATGGGGTTGCTATGAGTCAGAGCCAACTCAATGGCACCTGACAACAACAACAACATAGGGTTTCCTAGGCTGTAATCTTTATGGAAACGTATCTAGGATTTTTCTCCTGAGGAGTGATTGATGGGTTTGAACCACCACTTTTTGCTTAGCAACTGAGCGCTTTAACTGTTGCGCCACCATGGCTCCTTATACAGTAGGAGAATGTCCCATAAATGAATAGATAACAACAGAACCGAAAAGTACTATAGGATCAAACCATTCTCTGATCAGATGAAGTTGGCTTTGGTCTTGTTTTCACCCTTGTCCAGTGGGTAGGTTGTTGTTGTTATGTGCCGTGGAGTCAGACCCAACTCATAGTGACCCCTCCTTGGGTTTCTGAGGCAATATCACTATGGAAGTAGATTGCCCAACCTTCCTTCCGAGGAACAGCTGGTGGGTTTGAACCACCAGTCTTCTGGTTAGCAGTCAAGTGCCTTAGGCACTACATTATGAGAGCTCCTAGTGGGTAGGAGTAACTGGTATATAATTGCTGAACCCAAAATATCTCCTGTGTGTTTCCCTTCTCTTCACCCACTTCCTCATGTCAATATGGCCTGACTGTCCAGAGAGGGATGTGCATATGTCTGGCAGGTGGAGTCCTGCTGAGGGCTGTGTGGACTCATCGCTGTGCCGAGTGGGCCACGTTCCCACATAGGAGGTTCCTTTTCTATGTGCACAAAGGAGCCATGCGGCCTAGCAGCTCCTAGTATCAGTGGCCACAGGTGTGTGTGCCACATACAACAGAGACCACAGAGACTGTACTGAGGGTCAGAGTGGAAGACTCCTCTCCCCTGCAGGCTTTCTCTGGGGGAGCCCTCGGGTTACAGTGTTACATGCTAATGTGGGATTTAGATGGCAGAGAGTTCTTCCTTTTCTGAAGGAAGGGAGGGCTGGCCTTCATACATCAGAGGTGTGGGGGATTCACAGAACTCAGCTAGGGGAGGGCTCACGCCCAGGCCCTCCTTGAAGGTGACTCCCAGGGAACTGTCACTGGAAGCCCAGTGGTGGGATGAGTCCTAGCCCTGGTCCTCTGGGCCTGAGGGCAAGGATTCTGGAGGCAAAGGAGAAGACAGCTCTGCTGTGGCGGACTTAGAGGAGCTGTTTCTGCTGTATTCCTTCTCCAGGTCTGCTACTTGTGTCACAGCCTGCTGACACTGGCCGGGGTGGTGGTCAGCTGCCAGGACATTACTCCAGACCAGTGGGTGAGTCTCCCAGAGTCTGGTATGTGGGGGGGCAGGGGTGCCCAGCTGTGTCCTCTCCATCAAGCAATGTGGGATCAGCTGAGATGGAGCCTAGCCCACTGTAGGAACTGCACAGTGTGGGGGATGAGGACGAAGCAGACCTAGGACAGTCAAGGTCTCTTCCTCCCTCCAGTGTCCCATGAGGCGTTCCCAAGGGATACTGACCTGTGCCCCCAGCAATTGCCTCAACCCTCTCCTCCCTTTCCTGCCTGCTCTTCCTGCCCAACTTCTGAGTGGTCACTCAAATACATCCCTTTCTTTCTCTGGCTTTGTCTCCCCCACACACATGCACTTGGGATGCGCCTGGCCTGTGCCACATGCTTCCTCATGGCCCTGCCCCCTCCAGAGTGAGCTGCAGCTGCTGTGCATGCAGTTGGATCTCCACATCAGCACCCATATCCGGGAGAGCCCCCAGGCCATGCACCGGACCAAGCTCAAGGACCTGGCCACCCAGACCTACATCCGCTGGCAGGAGCTGCTGGCCCACTGCCAGCCCCAGGTGGTGCCCCCCCCCCCGCAGCCCCTAAGCTTGGGAAGGGAGGGAAGTGGTCAGGCAGTGCTGACCAGAGCTAGTAGCAGTGTCTACGCCCACTGCAGCTGCTGAGCTGCTGGCTGGGAGATAGGGGAAGAGGGCAGTTGGGGGGAGGGGGGAGATGCCTGGGAGACCTTCATCATTCTTATCGAGAATCAAATGCCCAGTGTAGGGGTGAGTGAGGGGACAGAGAGGAACCTTCCCTGAGCAAATGCAAAGAGACATTTAGCCTTGAAGAGGAAAGAGCCTGGGCCAGGAGTACCAGTTTGTCATGAGCAGTGCCAGGAAGGGCCACCAGCGGTACAAGCTGTCTCTACCCTCTCTGCCCACTTGTCCTGCAGGCCTGATGCTGGCCTCTGACTCTTCTGGAGAAAACACTGGCTCCCAGGTTGCCCTGTTCCCATCCTACAACCTCCACACCCCCCAATATTATCTAGGTAATAATAAACAAAAAAATAGATGCTGTCAAGTCAACTCTGACTCATAGCTAATGTTTATTGAATGAAGACCCTTTTCTTACACGAACCCTCATAACCCCCACAAGCCAGGTATTGTTATTATCCCCATTTCACAGATGAGGACCTACACAGAGGCACTGAAAGGTTACATAGCTTGCCCCATCACACAGCTCCAGTAAATGTCTGAAGCAGGGCACCAAGCCAGTGTGACTCCAAAGCCTGCCTGCTTAACCACAGTTCAGCTCCTGCTCTGGTCTCCTTCTGGCCTTTGTCCTCCCTTCCAACTCGTACCAGATGGCTTGAGGGATCTTCCCTGTCGGAGCGCCTGACCCTGGGTTGAGAAGAACTGGGTCTGAGAAGGGCCATTTCTTCATCCAGTACCTGGGTCTCAACTTGCCTTCCCTCCTCCATCTCACTCCTCTCTCCTTGTCCTTCCCCCTGTAACCTCTGACTTGAGGGACACGCTGACCACAGGCTGTGGCTTGGTCTCAGATTTCGCAAATCCATGAGAAAACTGAAGAACAAATCTCACCCCTCAACTTCCAAGGAACTAGATCACACTGGTCTCTGGGGGGAAACAATGAGCTTGTCATGAGAAGAAGGAAAAGTGAGTGGTGGCCTAGCACCACTTTTCTTTCACACTCCGGGGGTCTTGGTGAGCAGTGAGCAGCAGGGAACCCCAGCCAGCAGAGCAGAGCCATCATCTCACTGTGGTCAAGTGGCCTATTGACCTGCTGGACTGGGAGCTCCAGGGGTCTTGCTCACTAGCACCTGGCACAGAGGTGTTAGCTGCCATGAGTTGGTCTCTGACTCACAGTGACCAGTACATAACAGAATGAAATGCTGCCCAATCCTGTGTCAGCCCCACAGTTGGATATAGTTAGACAATTGCAGTCAATCTGAAGGAAGGCTTTAGTGGATGTTGAATGGACACTGGCATGTCCAGGGAGCCTCAAGACAGAGCAGGCACCATCTGGGCCCCAGGTCATCACAGCCTGTGTTTTTCTCTTTGCCACAGGTCCAGTACTTCTGCCCATGGAAAGACATCTAAAGGAACAGACCAGGGCTTCTGGCTCGGGCAGGAAATGAACAGGGCCCAGGGAACCAGAGGAAGCAGAGGCCAGAGGCCCACCAGATGCTGACCAGCCTGTGAAGCAAATGCCTCCTTCCACCCCTGCTCCTGACCCTTACCCGGCAAGGAATCCGGCCGGCCTCTCCCTGCCCGACCCACCCCTTGGCTTTCCTTTCCCTCCCAGCCATTGCCTCTTCCCTAAGGCCTTTGTCTCCATAGCTCTGGTTTCCCTGGGCCTCCTGGGCCCTCCCAGGCCTCAGTTCTCCCCACCCTCCTTCCTCCCTCTCCCTCACTCTCTCTCATTCTCTCTCTCTCTGTCACTAACGTGAGGTTTCTTTGTGCATATTAAAGTCTTATTTCAGCATCAGTGGTTTCGAAGCCTTCCTTCAATCCCTGTCCTGAGGGCTCATGCCCAGCTTTTCTTTTCCTGCTATCTCTGCTTGTGCTCTGCCATGAGTTCTCACCTCGGATAGTCCTGCCACGGGGCTTAAGCCCTGCCCACCTGGCAGCAGAGGGCTGTTTGTGTAGCTTATGGAGGAGGGAGGGAGGAGCAGTTAGTCTCTCCTCCAGTGGAGTGAGGCTAGCAGCCCAGTGGCCTGAGAACTGTCAGAAACCCCGGAAGCAGGGATGGGGAACATTTGCTTGGACCACTCCCCGTTCCCCGCCCCCACAGGGGAGGAATGAGATGGAAGATCAGGGCTGTAATTACACTTAATTCAATTTATTGTTGAGCTCTGAAATCAACTCTCCAGATTTAGGAGTAGGAGCGGGGGCAGTGCCAAAAGACAATCCCAGATACTGCTTTTGCTTTCCCTCACTTTTGGCCCAGATGTGTGTTGAGAGCCCTGATCCCTCATTGGTAATAGGGTGCTGGAATTTCTTTTACCTGTGCCTCTTGAGAAGTGAGTATGCCCTCTGTGCCCCAGTAGATCCCTGGGTATCCACTTTCTCTTCCCACTTCAACCCTGAGAATCCAGTCCTAGTCCCTGGTTTCACTCTGTTTTTAGGTTGGGATAGGGTTTTGCAGGGGGCACAAGAGGTAGGTAGGAAGTGGCAGAGGATTACCCTTGCCAGATTGGCCTGTGCCGACTCCTCAACTCAACCCTGGAAATCTACCTACCGATCAAGCTTCACCGTGACTGGTGCATACAACTTTCTCTCTTGTATGCATCTTTCTTTTCAGTATTTCATATTAAAACGCACTGAATCAAGTTGATTCCAATTCAGTGTGACCCCTCCTTGGTGATATCTATACGGAAGTAGATTGCCCAGTCTTCCTTCTGAGGAGTGGCTGGTGGGTTTGAGCCGCCAACCTTCTGGTTAGCAGTCAAATGCCTTAGGCACTACACCACCAGAGCTCCCATTTCATGTTAAGGCAGGCTAATTCAGAGAGAGATTTTCCCCAAAATAACCTTCCAGCCAAGTGGCTCAGTTTGCAGACCTGAGTCCATCACTTCCTAGGGCTTGTTACCAGACATACTGCCTCCCTCTCGATGTTCTCAGAATGCAAGGAACCTGGAGGCATCTGGTGTTCTGAGTTCACAGGCACATGGCAGAGCACAGTGCTGGGTACCATGCCATATGTCTCTCTGCTTCAGCGCCTTTGCCAAGTGATAGGTGGAAGAAACCCTTGGCCAGGGTGACTTGGATGCCCAGGCAACTCAGCTGAGTTCTGGTTTCTGTTCCTGGCTGCATCACATGCCCCTTTGGCCAACGCATCTCCAAGGCCTCAGTGGCATCAGGTCTGCCTCAGATGCTAAGATAAAAGAGTAGAGACACTGACAAGCCAGCCTTCTGCACCCTCCCTCAGGGGTGCCCCTGCTCTGTCACTGAACATCCTGACAGTTAATCCTCAACTATTCAGTTTGCTCTGGAAACCTGGAAATCACCTTTGAAATTTCCCTTCTTTGTTCTCACTGCCAAGGGCAGAAAGGGAGTAGGGAGGTCTAAGAGGCTGAACCAGGGAGTTTCCACTTCTTGAAGCTGCCCCTACCCAGTTCTGAGGACGCTGTCGGGCTGTCCATCAGTGGAAACGTGGAGTTTTTCTCCCCAGTCCTGGATCTTGAATACTGTTCCCCTCCTCCCCTGCCCCCCAAACATACTCATCCACAAGAGAGAAATAGATACCAAGGAGAGAGGTGTTGGTGACAACTCATTCCCTCAAGAAACCTGGCTGTAACCTGAGCAGAGGTGTACACTGCAAGGTCACCCAAGGGCACATGATATCCCCTGGGACCTGTAATGGGCCCTCTCTAGGTCTGCCCTGATAGTTGACCAGATCTTCTAAAACTAGCTTTGGGCCAGTTAGAAACTCAGTCTCCTTGAGACCGAGAACTGCACAGTGGTGCTGGCAGTGTCACCACTTTCCCCTCCAGGTCTTTGACTTTTCCAGATCCCTAAGCCTCTGGGAAAAAGCCAGGGGATATCCTGATAGAAGCCATTGGAAAAGCAACATCCGGGGCTGTAATGACGGATTTTTCCAGCTTCCTTTTGGTGTTGGTGGTGGTTGGGAGGGGCTGAAAAGGAAAAAGCTTCCCAGGTGGATGGCTTTGATAACTCTTTTTTTGGAGGAAGTAGAGGAAGTTCTTTTCCTAAGTCCTCACTCACCTCTGTCCCCAGCCTCTCAGAAAGATCCCTGATGGATGGCTGGCCTAGGCTTTCTCAATTCCCCATCTGGGATGACAGTAGCTAGAAGCCTGCCAGAGTGCAGTGCTGATAGAGAGCCCCAGTGTTCACCCTAGGTCTTCCTCCTGCCAGAAAGCTGCCTTAGGCAAGGTGGGAGATGAGTAGCTCTAATGAGGGGCACCAAGGTAACACGGCCAGTGTATGGGAGACAGCAGGGTTGCTTTTCACTTCAGACTTTTGGGCTCATCTCTATGTGTTACCCTGAACTGCTAATAGACTCTTAGAGAACTTCAGAAGGCATTTAGCAGATCTTCTCTGTCTTTCCTAGACTCGGCAACAAGTAGTTGAGCAAATGCTCAGAAGGAGAGTCTGTTAAGATCTAAGGCCTTTCCATAGAATATGCCATACAGACCCTAGGAAAACCAGAGAGGTACATGAGCCTTATCTACTCCTTACTTAAGACCTAGAAATCCTCATTTTCTACTACTTGTGCTTTTATTAAAATGTATGAATCACGAGAAAGTAGTCATTCAGAAAGCATTATCCCCTGACCATCCACCCAAGAAAAAGGCCAGTGCTGAGAATGAACAGAGTACGACAGGAAATGAATGAAGGTAGAAAAGAGGAGAAAGGGAGGAGCTGGAGCTTTCTTTGAGGACCCTTTGGGAACAAAGGGCTCATGGAATCTGTTAACAGGAGGTTTCTCCTTTCTGCCTATGTCCCCCACTTCAGGAAAACACCACTAAGGTATAGAACAAAACTGTCCTTGCCGGTATGAAACCAAACCGCCTTTTGAAACTTTCCACTGGGGCCACCTCACAGATGGAGCTAGGGAGCTCAAGTCACTGCCTGGTAACCCTCACACCATAGAGGGTGCGGAGTAGGGGTGAGGATGGTGGTGGTATCAGGCTCTAAGGTGAGGGAAAACAGGAAATGGGTTGTTATGGGGTCTAAAAATTGGCAGGATACACTGTGACTTAGTGAATGAGGGAATGAGGAGTCCAAAGACCTGATTTAAGATTATGATCTTGTTAATTATCTACGTGACTTTGGTCAAGTTACTTAACCTTTCTGAGACTCCTTTTATGTATAAAGTAAGAGAAACAATTCCTAGTTATTAAAGTGTTGACATGAGGGTGGAGTAAGGAAATGTCTCTGGAGGCAGGTTGCAAAGTCTGAAGCTCAAAACAAATATGAGAGGCATTTGCATACAGTTTATTTCTCCATGTAAATAGACAAAAGTTCTAATCAAGACCACTCACACCTTTTCCCTCCTGGCAAGCTGAAGCCTAGAGCCTACTGTCTTGCTCCATGCTGATTGTTAACTGGCTTTCCCTCTATCTCTACCATCTCCAAGGCCACAGGTTTTTTTTTTTTTTTTTTTTTTTTTTTCGTTTTGTTTTTTGTGGAAAGGGGCTGGGAAATGTGGCTTTGGCCAGCTTGGGAGAAGGAGCCTTTATATGTACCAGCAAAGGCCCGATTGTTACTGAAACCAAACTGGACTGCTTTTCCCAATTATCTCCACTACTCTTCTGGTCTCTGATTTTCTGATGCCAAGTTTTAACCCAGAACAAAAGCTGCTGTCGGGGCTGATTTATAATCCAGATCTGCTGACGAGCCTAAAATGCTCCCTCTCTCAAGGACTGCACTCTTAAAGTCACCACTGAAGTCTTCCAGACTTCAGGCCCCTTCATCTCTTCCCTTTGCCTGTAGCCAGGAACTGGCATCTGTCTCCAGGTGCCTATGCGGTGGCCTCCCTGAGGCTTCTCTGTCCACCTGCAGACAGACCAGTTGGCAGGGAGGACACGCCAGCACCGCCCCGGAGCTGGAGCTACGCTTACATCTAGGAGCGCTGTGGGCGGAGGCTGGCTGTTCTGCAGGTAGTGGTTCTTACCCAGCGTGGTCCCCCTCAGCCCTTTTCATCTGAACATCAGGGCTTATGCCACTTGTTAATCAGCTTTCCCAGCATCATTTCCTGGGGCTACTTTGGACAACAGGAGTCAAGGGTTGCCTCCACAAGGAGCTAGGGGCTTTGGCTGGTGCGTGAGAATCAAGAGACAGACTCTCCGGAGATTAGGATCATCCTGGTTGGTGCAGCTCTTTCCCTTCTGAGAGAAGGAAACAGTGGGCATTGGGGCAAAGAAACGGGGAAGAATTTTGGTCCAGCAGATAGACCACTCTGGCCCTCTCAGAAGAGGCCCCGGTTTCCCCTGCATCCTTCCCTCGGATATTTTCTCTTCGGTGGTGGTTCGCCTGCGTTCGTCCTTCTAACCCGAAATTGGGGAGCCCTTCAGCCCTATCCCCGACCCTAGCAGTCCAGCCCGCGGAAAGCCTTCGGGGGACACTTTGGAAAAACCGGTTAGTCCGATTCCCTATGGCAATGCCCGGGGTCCCTCCTCCGCCCCACCTCCTGGCGCTGTGGCGCAGACCTCGACTTGGAGGTGCGGGACTGCTGGGCACAGAACGGGGCGGGGGTCTGAGCCCCAGGGCGAGAGAGTGAGTGGCTCGGCGGGTCGCGGCGGGTCGCAGCCCCCTCCTGGGCGGGCCCTCGCGTCCCGCCCCCGGCCTCCGCTAGACCCCCCCCCCGCCTGACGTCAAGGGGAGGGGGCGGAGAGCAGCGGCCGCGGTGGAGAAAGAGCCGGCGTCCGCCGCTGTGGCGCGGGGAGCCCGAGCCTAGAGGCGGGTATCTGAGCCCGGACCGAGGCGGGAGGCGGGTGGGAGAGGAGCGGCGGAGGGCGGTGCAAAGGTAGGGGAGGACCGTGGTCGCTGCCAAACGCGAGGGCGGCGCCCAGGTTTTCGAGCCGTGCGTAAGAGGTGAGTGAGGTCGGGGCTGCGCGGGGCCGGGGCGTTGGGGCGCCGCGGCCGCCGCTTTGTCCCCCTGTTCGGTCAGGGGCCGCCGCACGCGCGAGAGGCAGGGTTTGGGGGCTCATGAAGAGGCAGTGGCGGAGACAGCTGTCTGCCTGAGAGCCTTCCTGCGGTCTCCGCGGGCTGTCTCGGAAAGCCGGGAAGAGCGGGGACGAGCTGTGCCTGCAGCCACAGGGTTCAGAGGGGCGAGCCAGTTAGGAGGATCAGGGCTAGGTGGAGTGGGGGGGTCCCTTCTCGCTCGTGCTGCCCGGCCCGTGGCCGGGATCCTCGCCAGGCCCCCGACTCTCCCACCCCCGACGGAAAGTTTGGGGCGGGCTTGGACTGAGGCCGATGTTGTGGGATCAGATTTCCCTGTCGTGGCCCCCTGTCCGCCTGCCCGTTCCGCTGGGGAGGCGGGTTGTCCCGGAAAGCCAGGTCCCCGATCCGAACTGGGCACCCTCTCCCTGGCTGGAGTGCTCGCCTGCAGGCACGGGAGCGCCTGTGTTCACTGTCGGCTGCTCTGGGGCCGGGGGCGGGGGGCACATTGCCTGGGCCCGGAGCCCCTCCACCTCCCACCCCCCGGAGGCTGCCCCTTTTTCCCCCTCACCCTAGGAGCTGGGGGTGGGGGCACCGCTGCACAGGCGGATCCTCGGAGCGTGCCGCGGGGTTCGGCTGGGGCCTGGACTGAGGGGCAGAAGGGAGAGCTGGGGGTGTGTTGGGATGGGTGGGGGATGAACTCAGCTCGGGCCCCCCGCCCTTCCCGCGCTGGGGTTCCGGGCCGACAGGGGGCGTCCGCAGGCCCGGCTCCGCCACGCTCCGGCGCCGCCGCTTTGTTTGCATTCAAATCCCCGGAGCTGGGGGAGGGGAGAGAACCGGGTGGTACCGGGGACGGGGTCTTGGCGGAGACCCTTTGTTGTGGGATGAGTAGGTTCCCAGCTTTTGTATCTCCGTGCCCAGCATTGGCGGTCGGGAACAGTGGCAGTCAATCCAGATGCCCTGCCCAGGTCAGGGTCCCGGGGGCGCAATCCCCGAGTTAGGAAGGTTCATCAGACTTGGGGGAGTGCTGCAGGCGCTGGCTTTGCTCGGTGTGTCCCTCTTGGTCCAAGAGGAGCCCCCTCCTACCCCTGCCTTCACCCCACACGTTCCATCTCCTGGCCTGTAAGCACAGCCAGGAGGGAGAGATTCCTGATTAGACCAGAGCCAGCTCTGTTCTCCAGCCGCCCCCTAGCCCGAGGGCTGAGTGTCTCCTAGAAGGCTGTTCAAGGAACAGGATGAGGCCCTGGTCATTTCCACGCCCATCCCACCCACTTCCTGCCTCCCTTCTTGGGCAACAAAGGGACCTCGGGAAGCTGGGCCCATTAGGCTCCTGGCTCAACTCTGGCCCTACCGATGTGGAACGGGGTTTTGGGCATTGCCCGAGGTATTGTCTACAATGGGGGAGGGGAGAGACTAGGGCCAGTACCTCCACACGCCCTACCTCACCAAGCGCCCACTACGAGGTGCTTCCCACCCACCTCCAGCAGATGCCTCGTCACTGCACTAAGGGGTTTTCATCCCAGAATTAGGTCTTGGCTCTGGCTGGAGCCCCACTGGAGGCAGGTCTTGCTTCCTGAGGTTATTTTAAGAAATTCTGAAACCTTTTAGGTCTGGGGTGGGAGAAGGGGTCCCTCTTTTTATTTTTTTTAAACAACTTCCTGCTGAGTTGGGAAGAGCCTGGAGGCCAGAGAGGACTTGGTGTAGTCTGGGAGATGGGAAGTGTCCACTCCTCCAGCTGACTCAGATCCTACATGCCCCCCCACCCAGAGATCCCAATCTTTTGGGGGCTGAAGCCAGGTGAAGAGGGTGTTTAGGCTTCCCTCCAAGGATAGTGGTGAAGGGGAGACCCAAGGGGCTCTTGGGAAAGCTAATCAGGTGTTCTGTCAATGCCTGACAGTGGGCTTGTGTGGGCCCCCTTCCAGACTGTTTTCTGTGGCTGTGGTTCTGACCCTTTCTTTTCCCTCAGCAGGGCAACTGGCCTGGAGTTTAGAGTTGGGGTGTGTGCCATGGCCCCACACTGGGCTGTCTGGCTGCTGGCAGCAGGGCTGTGGGGCCTTGGCATTGGGGCTGAGGTGTGGTGGAACCTTGTGCCCAGGAAGACAGTATCCTCTGGGGGTGAGTGCCTAAAATCGTGAGGAGGGAGATCGGAGAGTGGGAAGGCAGGAATGATGGCTGGGAGAAGAGGATGTTTTTAGCGCGTGCAGGGGCTGCTAAGGAATTGCCCACCAGAAGGTGGCTTTATTTCCTATCAGACTTAAGGCTCACCAATGTGTGTGGAACAGCTTTCTAAGAAACCTGAGAGTGTGGCAACAGGGACTCAAAACTGGTAGCACAGGTCAGGACTGGGATTTGCCTCCTTCTTACACTTAGATGGCTCTGGGAAGTCTCTTACCAACTCCCCATCCCCACTCCTGGCTGCTCATGCAAGAGAGAGAGAGACCATTCTGCATCTTTTGCCCCATGCCTTCTTGAATTGTCACTAGCACTAGGAGGTCAAAGAAACAAACCAGAATCATGACAGGAATGAACAGTAGGGTCTGATCTCCTCTGGAATCTTTCTAGCTCTAACCCTTTGCCCCTAGGATCCCCCTTATGAACCCTAACAAACACTTCTCTTCTCCTGCCCTGATACTCTTACCCGACAGTGGCCCTAGATGGGTATGTGTATGTTCGTTAGCTTGCATGGGGGCGGACAGAGCAGATTTGCAGTCCTCCTCTTGCACACACCTGTACAAAGAAGTGATGTCAGGTGTTTGTATGATCTCTGCACTCTAGGGACCCTGGGATGAGCTCACCTCCCACAGGCTCCACACAGGTGCTAATGAAACCCTCCCATGCTGGCCTGTATCTGGGATTATCATTGGCTTTAAAGACTAAAGCTGGTTTTGGGGGACCCTGAGGACAGGTTGCAACTATTTGGGGGCTAACGTAGAAATGGCATGACTCTGTGACTGCTGTAGTGCCTGCTGCCCTGCATGCTGGATGGCAGCGTGGCTTCCCACCTCTGAGGCTTCAATAGCCACCCACCATCCCTCCCAGTCCTTGGTCCCTGAACCTCTGGCTTCCCTTGCCCTTCCTGTGCCTGCATCTCTGGGCTGCTTGGACAGCCTAATTTGGGTCCTGCTAGAATGCAGAGTTTCCACAGGCAAAGAGGGTTCACAACTGTTCTGTATTTCCTGCCTTGCTTGACCAGGGGCCAGGGCCTTAGCTGGATTCCGACATGGGTAGTGGATAGCAGTGCAAAGAAGGAAATAGCCGAGGAAGTTGGGAGGGGGAAGAGCCCCACTCTGGGGCCGGAGGTGCTGCTGACCCTGAGAGTGAGAGCCATCAGTCTGATGGCTTCCTCTGGCCGGAAGCTGTGGCTGAGATATTCTTCCTTCCTCTTTGCCAGCCCGGATTTGCCCCCTCCCAGGGCTGGGAAAGGCCAAGAAGGCTCGGGTGGAGCTGTCACAGCTGAAGAGCTACTCAAAAAATGCCTTCATTGCCACTCACAGGACTTAGCTGGCATCACTAGTGGGGTGCTGGCTTGGATATGGAGGGTTGCGGTCATTGAGCCTAGGAAGCCATTGTGAAGGGGAAGTCTAGTTCTGGCGGGTGGCCGGAGCCTGTACCTAACCCCTTCCGCCCTGCTCAACCCTTCCCTGTCCTGCAGAGCTGGCAACAGTGGTGCGGCGGTTCTCACAAACGGGCATCCAAGACTTCCTGACACTGACCCTGACTGAGCGGACGGGGCTTCTGTACGTGGGGGCCCGGGAGGCCCTGTTTGCTTTCAGCGTGGAGGCCCTGGAGCTGCAAGGAGTGGTGAGAGGTGGGGAAGTGGGAGGCACACAGGTGGGATGAGAGAAGGCAGGACCCAGAGGGGCTTTGCTTGACAGGTTATCCCCTCAGCCCAGCTCCCCCTTCCCTATCCTGTCCTTCTCCCCTGTTGAAATCTCACTCACCTTCCAAGGCCAGCCATCTAGTCAGACTTACTACATTGCTCCTCCCTCTCCATCCACTTTGTAACACTTACTGGATTCTGCTATCATCGGCCACTGAGGCTTCTGTGTGCTCTATTAAAATAAGCCCCCCCCCCAGAGAATGGGGACCGTGTGTCTTCTCACTTGGTGTGCCCCAGATTGCTACTTCAGGCCATGTCATGGCATATGCTCGGTACATGCCTGTGATTTGCTGACCTGTCCCCTCCTTGTCTCCAGATCTCATGGGAGGCCCCAGCTGAGAAGAAGGTTGAGTGTATCCAGAAAGGGAAGAGTAACCAGGTGAGTGCTGGGGCACTGCTGGGAAGGGCAGAGCCCTGGTGCTTCCCACTGGCATGTCTCATGTCCCGTGCACTCTCCCCAACACTTTAGGGGCCCCAGCTCTCCCCTTGTTCTAATACTAGTCTCAGTCTCATTCTTGTCTGTTACGTCCCCATGTCTTGAATCCCTTGTACTCTCACCAACTGGATACCTTTCTCCCCCCAGACGGAGTGTTTCAACTTCATCCGCTTCCTGCAGCCCTACAACACATCCCATCTCTATGTCTGTGGTACCTACGCCTTCCAGCCCAAGTGCACCTACATTGTGAGTGCAGCTCCCCTTTTCCGTCCATCTCTGGACTCCCGGGCCCCTTGAGGTTTTTCCCCTTCTGTGTGTCAATCTCACCATCTCTCTCCCTGCCTCTAGGACACATTTACCTTCTCTTTGGAGCGTGGAGAGTTTGAGGATGGGAAGGGAAAGTGTCCCTATGACCCAGCTAAGGGCCATACTGGCCTCCTTGTGGGTAAGTGGTCCCGCACAGGCTGGGGGAGTCCCCCGAGGGATTTGTCCCACTCGTTGGTCTGAGTGTGTCTTTAGCTCACTCCCAATCTGGCTGACCCTTTGTTTCCTATAGACGGTGAGCTGTATTCGGCAACATTCAACAACTTCCTGGGCACAGAGCCTGTTATCCTACGTAACATGGGGCCCCACTACTCCATGAAGACAGAGTATTTGGCCTTTTGGCTCAATGGTGAGCCCTGAAGAGCTGTTTTGGGGACTGGGGATGTGGGAGGGATTGTGAGTGTCCCAAAACTCCACCACTGACCCTTCTCCCCTTCCCATAGAGCCTCACTTTGTAGGCTCTGCTTATGTGCCAGAGAGCGTGGGGAGCTTCACCGGTGACGATGACAAGATATACTTCTTCTTCAGTGAGCGAGCAGTGGAATATGACTGCTATGCTGAGCAGGTGGTGGCTCGGGTAGCCCGGGTCTGCAAGGTATAGAACCCTCCCCGTTGTTGGGCCCTGGGAGCCCCCCTGACATGGCGAGGCTGACTGCCAGCGTCATCTTGCTATCTGCTAGGGAGACCTAGGGGGTGCACGGACCCTGCAGAGGAAGTGGACCACATTCCTGAAGGCACGGCTGGTGTGCTCTGCTCCTGACTGGCAGCTGCATTTCAATCAGCTACAGGCACTGCACACCCTGCAGGACACCTCTTGGCACAACACCACCTTCTTTGGGGTTTTTCGGGCACGATGGTGAGTTGGTCAGGATGGGTAGGAACAGGTTGGCGGGTGTGAGGACCTGGACTCGGCCTCTTAGTCCGTTATCCGGAGGCCAAGGAGGATGCTGATCACCTGCCCCTTTTCAAGGCTCACTGGGAGGTGGACAGTGCCCTGTCTTGGGTGGCACTTTAGAGCCTGAAAGGCCAGTGATCTACTTCTAAGAAATCAGCATTGAAAACTCTAGAGTACAGTTCTGCTCCAACACACACAGGATCACCATGAGTTGGAATCGACTTAACAATAACTAAAAACATTCTCATGCCTCTGATTGTTTTGCGTGGGTTCCTGCCTTACTGCTCCATTCCCTGAGCTACAGTGAGGTGGAACAAGATGAGTGGCAGGCCTGAGCCTTGGAGTCCCTCTCTCCCTGCTGCAGGGGTGATGTGGACCTGTCAGCAGTCTGTGAGTACCAGTTGGAAGAGATCCAGAGGGTGTTCGAGGGCCCCTACAAGGAATACCGTGAGCAAGCACAGAAGTGGAGCCGTTACACCGACCCAGTTCCCAGCCCACGTCCTGGCTCGGTGAGTCATTGAGGGCAGGGATATGGGCCCCCTGTTCTTAGCAGCAGTGCCAGCCTTGCCCAAACTGACTGGCTCTCCTCCCCACACCTTACATCCCCCAGTGCATAAATAACTGGCACCGCCGCCATGGCTACACCAGTTCTCTGGAGCTGCCTGACAACACACTCAACTTTATCAAGAAGCACCCGCTGATGGAGGAGCAGGTGGGGCCTCGGTGGGGTCGCCCCCTGCTCGTGAAGAAGGACACTAACTTCACCCACTTGGTAGCTGACCAGGTTACAGGGCTTGATGGAACCACCTACACAGTGCTATTCATTGGCACAGGTATAGCACATGGATGTGTGGGCATGGCCAATGGAAGCTGTATGAAGTCCTGTGGGGCTGGAGCAGGGAGGTCTGGAGATGCCCTCCTACCCTCTCACATCCTTGACCCCACCTTCAGGAGACGGCTGGCTGCTCAAGGCTGTGAGCCGGGGACCCTGGGTCCACCTGATTGAGGAGCTGCAGGTGTTTGATCAGGAACCTATGGAAAGCCTGGTTCTGTCCCGGAGCAAGGTAGGAAGATTGCGGCCCCCACTCCACCACCTTCCAGAATTTCTTCTTGTCTCCCTCCCTATGCCCTGTCTGCCTTTCCCCAGTCTAGTTTGTGTGATTGGCTAGGACAAGGATAGGGAAGCAGTGTGCACATACCTCTGTGAGCTTAAGGCATGTTCCCGGAAATAAGAGCACTAAGTAATCCGTGTTCCACAGGGTCATTATATATAGCCCAGTCCCTCTGGGGATGTGTTCCTGGAATTGAGCATTGCCAGCGGCTGTGACGTTTCTGTCAAACCCCCGAAGTTGTGCCGGTCACTCTGGCTACAGCCTTTTCCTGCAGCTGATCATTCATTGCACTGCTGGCCAATCCTCCCGGGCTGCTGTGATGTTAAGGTGTCCTTCTGCACCCACTCAGAGTTTTTCTACCAATCTCCAAGTACTTGCTCATCCTGACCCTCCCTTTATATGACCATTTCCCTGAAGTGCTTGCAAAAGATACTCTTTCCTGGCAGGTTTGTGGCACCCTCTCAACTATCATTTGCTCACCTTTTATCAACTATTGTGATTCAAAATTGTTCCCCAGAACATGACATAATGGCAGAAAGAAAGACTGGTTGAATAAACACAGAGATAGGCAAGTACCATTCAAACAGGAAAACTGCTTATGCTGTGCTAGTGCTATTGTGTGGGCTAAGGGCGTTGAGAAAAATAGATTTCCTGCACTATTCATACGGTAATGGATTGTGTATGTGTGTGAATGTGATTAGACTGCTCAGCCTCACAGGTGTGTTGTTAGTTTCTAATAAGGTCATGTCAATAAGGTGCTTAGGATTGCGTGTGGCTTGTTGTAAGCCCTGAGTGCATTGCTTGGTTCTTAGAATCTTGCTTCCTCATCAGTACTGCCTTCTTCCTCCTTTTACCATCATGCTCCCCTCTGAAGGCCTAAGCTCCCACACTATGTCCTAGTCTGGCTGCATCTCAGGGGCAGCACAGGCTGACCCTCCCTCTTGCCCTTGATTCTCCTGCAGAAGCTGCTCTTTGCAGGTTCCCACTCACAGCTGGTCCAGTTGCCCCTGGCCCACTGCGTGAAGTACCGCTCCTGTGCAGACTGTGTCCTTGCACGGGACCCCTACTGCGCCTGGAACATCAACACCAGCCGCTGCGTAACCCCTGGTGGCCACTCTGGGTGAGTTGGCCTTTGCATGTGCCAAGATGAGGGAGGAGGGCAGGATGGTTGGAGCCGAGATCCTGACGGATCCTGCTTCTTCTGCAGATCTCTGCTGATTCAGCACGTGACAATCTTAGATACCTCGGCCATTTGTAACCTTCGTGGCACTAAGAAAGGTGAGATGTCTTATTTGTCCCCCTTCTGAGGGAGTGGCCCTAGGTCAGAGATGAAGTACCCACATCGCCCCTTGGCCCTAGTTAGTTCCTGCACTAACTTTATGTACCCTCTTTTTCTCTCTGCCTTGTAGTCAGGCTCACTCCCAAAAATATCACAGTGGTGGCGGGCACGGACCTGGTGCTGCCCTGCCGCCTCTCTTCCAACCTGGCTCATGCCCGCTGGACTTTTGGTGACCGGGACTTGCCCTTGGAACAGCCTGGCTCCTTCCTCTATGATGCCCGACTCCAGGCCCTAGTGGTGATGGCTGCCCAGCCCCGCCATGCTGGGGCCTACCATTGCTTTTCGGAGGAGCAGGGGGCTCGACTGGCTGCCGAAGGCTACCTTGTGGCTGTGGTGGCAGGCCCATCAGTGACCCTGGAGGCCCGGGCTCCCCTGGAAAATCTGGGACTGGTATGGCTGGCTGTGGTGGCCCTGGGGGCCGTGTGCCTGGTGCTGCTGCTGCTTGTTTTGTCACTGCGCCGGCGGCTGCGTGAGGAGCTGGAAAAAGGTGCCAAGGCGGCTGAGAGGACCCTGGTATACCCTCTGGAGCTGCCCAAAGAGCCCACCAGTCCTCCCTTCCGGCCTGGCCCTGAGACGGATGAGAAACTTTGGGATCCCGTTGGCTACTATTACTCAGATGGCTCCCTCAAGATTGTGCCTGGTCACGCCCGGTGCCAGCCTGGGGGTGGGCCCCCATCTCCACCGCCTGGCATCCCGGGCCAGCCCTTGCCTTCTCCAACTCGGCTTCATCTGGGGGGTGGGCGGAACTCAAATGCCAATGGTTATGTGCGCTTACAACTAGGAGGGGAGGACCGGGGAGGGCTTGGGCATCCGCTGCCTGAGCTCGCTGATGAACTGAGACGCAAACTGCAGCAGCGCCAGCCACTGCCTGACTCCAACCCCGAGGAGTCCTCAGTATGAGGCGAACCCCCCCACCACGTTGGGGGGGCGGCGTGGGAGGTGCAGCTCCCACTTTTGCACAGGCACCAGCTACCTCAGGGACATGGCACGGGCACCTACTCTGCCTGGGACAGACCCTGCCCAGCACTCGCCCGGCCATAAGGACCTGCTCTGCTCAGCATGGGCACTGCCACTTGGTGTGGCTCACCAGGTCACCAGACACAGAGGGTATCTTCCTCCTCTCTGTGAGGGGCTGTGAATCACGGACACATGGGACCCCAACAGCCAAAACTTTTCAAGGCAGAAGTTCGAGATGTGGGTGTGTTTGTTCATATATATATGTGGGTGTTTGCACGTGTGTGTGACATGGCCTTCCTGTTTCTGTCAAGTCTTCCCTTGGCCTGGGGTCCTCCTGGTGAGTCTTTTGGAGCTATGAAGGGGAAGGGGTCGTACCACTTTGCCTCTTCTGCCCCCACCTGTCCCAAGTATGGGCCAGGGATGTACATATGGGGGTGGGGTGGGCAGGGTGCTATGCCCCTTTGGGGGAGTTCAGGGCTCAGGGGTGGGCCTAGTCCTGCTCCTAGGGCTGTGAATGTTTTCAGGGTGGGGGGGAGGGGGATGGAGCCTCCTGTGTGTTTGGGGGAAGGGTGGGAGGGGCTTCCCACTTGGCCCCTGGGGTTCAGTGGTATTTTATACTTGTCCTCCCTTAAGGGGCTGGGAAAGGTTGTGGGGGGAGGGGAGGGAGAAAGGGTGAGTATGCTGTGGATCTGGCATATCCTCTCCCAGCCGTAGGAGGAGGAGGGCTTCTAACAGTGTAACTTATTGTGTCCCCGCGTATTTATTTGTTGTAAATATTTGAGTATTTTTATATTGACAAATAAAATGGAGAAAATGATAGCGTTGCTGTGATGGGACTAAGTAAGACATATGGGCTAAAACCTGGATGTTAAGAGGGAAGTTTCCCTGTGGAATAAGCTAGGTTGAACTGGGTTCCCCTAACGGTTCCAGGGCAGCCAGCTGTACTGTGGTTCCTGCCTGCTTGTGCCCTTCTTAAGAAGGAAACAGCCCAGGCTCCAGTATTTTCCCACAGTGGTGGCTATAGGGCTGGGAACCAGACCTCTGCCACAGCCTCTTGGGAGCCAGCCTTTGGCTTCTGGCCAAAGGGAGAAGTCAGAACATTGGGAGTCAAGGAGGAGGAGCTGCCTTCCCAGAAGTTTGTGAGGGGGCCAAAGAAGGGGAACTTCCTAGAAGCAGTTTAAGGATGGTGGACTGGGTACTTGGTTGTGTAAGGTTTGGGCTCCCAACTAGCTTAAAAAACAAAACCTCAACTGCTGTCCAGTCGATTAAACTCAGCAACCCCTCCTTGGGTTTTCAAAGTGGTATCTCTACGGAAATGGATTGCCCAATCTTCCCGCCGAGGAGTGGCTGGTGGTTCTGGTTAGCAGTCAAATGCCTTAGACACTACGCCACCAACTAGCTTGGGAGGAATTTCCACCAGGAGTGTTGAATCCTTTAATGCCCCAGCTACATGGGGAATGGGGAGCTCTGGTGGCACAATAGAGCATTTGGCTTCTAACCAAAAGGTCAGTGGTTTGAACCCAGCAGCCAAGGGAACTTCCGTAAAGATTTACAGCCTTGGAAACCCTGTAGGGCAGTCCTACTCTGTCCTATAGGGTCGCTACTGAGTCAGAGTTAACTCCATGGCAGTGGGCTTGGTTTTGTTTTTTACATGGAAGTGTGGAACTTGCCTCCACTGCCACCTAATGTCCATCAAGCTATTGTCCTAGTGAGAGAGTAGTAGTACAGGGAGGGGCCAGATCTTTCTAAGAAAAACAACCTTGTCTGGATTCTGTTTAACTCGTCCACCATTTCTCATTGCCTCTGAGATGGAGGGAGCCAGAGCCAAGTACCCCTATACAAAGGTCAGGGTTCAGCGGGGGTCTTACTGTGACCTGAAAGGTTACACTGCCCTCCATCTCCTAAAATAGAATAAGGCTGGAATAGTGCTGATTTGAGTAAGCTCTACTTTGTGTGGGAGCTCTGGTAGCATAGTGGCTAAGGCACTTGACTGCTCACCAGATGGCTGGTGGTTCAAACCCATCAGCCACTCCCCGGAAGGAAGGTTGGGCAATCCTACTTCCGTAGTGAAACTGCCTCGGAAACCCAAGGAGGGGTCGCTATGAGTCAGGGATGACTCGACGGCACATAACAACATAACAACAACTACTTTGTGTATGGTCAGTAGACATAATCCAGAGGCTGTTTGATAAATGAAGATTTATTCCATAAACTAAGCGTCTACTGTGGGAGTTGAGGATACGGCCTTGTGCTTTGGCTCTGCTTACGAGCGCGTTTCTTCCAGTGATGGCAAGTTACAGCCAGCTGCTCTTTACAAATAGGCCGGGACGTGGGGGAAGGGGGAAAGCGAATCATGGAGTCCACCGGCGACCCCAGGGCGGTAACGGGGTAACGGGAAAGGGGCCTGGGGGCCTCTGGAGGACTCAGTTCTGGCGAACGTAACAAATGTTTCCGGCTGGGCCTACCCACCCGGTCCTCACACTCTACTAGGTCAGACGGCCAGGCCAGCTCTCCCTCAAATTGTCTTGAGAGAGAGCGCCAAGATGAGAGCTTCCTCGCTTCCTTCTTCTGTTTATCCTCTGCTGTCCTCTAGTGGCTGCCTTTAGGCACGGGCCCAGCGCAACAAGTCCCGCCCCTGCCGCCTCGATTGGTTTTCGCATTAAGGCCTAGACTTTGTGATTGGTTGGCTCCAGTAGGGTCGCGGGATTAGGAGGACAATCGCGGACGCCGAGTGGTCAGATCTGGGTCCGCCGGGAGGACAGTGTACTGGCCCCGCCCCCAGAAGACCTGTTCTCAATTAATACTTGGTACCCGGACGTCCAGGCCCGGATGGCAGAACCTCACTCCTGCGCGGACGATCCCTGCTGCTCCCACCAAAATGCGGTGCCCAGCGTGCACCAGACGCTGGAGGAGATGGACTTCGAGAGAGGTGAGGCGGGCGCCGCGGCCAGACCTGAGTTCCGCCAGAACTCCCTTCAGAGGCTGTGACGAGGGAGTTATTGGCTCGCCCCTCACCGGCGACTGAGTTTCATTGACACCGGGCAAAGGAGGTGGGAGGTGGCTGCTAATGGGAGACAACCGAGGGTCCGCTATTGTGCCTGGGCAGGACGAGGCCGAGCTCCTCAAAACCAGTGCGATTGAGCCTATTCCGACTGATGCGACCCCATGTGTCAGAACAGAGCTGTGCTTCACAGGGTTCAGTGGCTGATTTGTCAGAAGACCACCAGGCCTTTTCTTTCGAAGCACCTGTGGGTGGACAGGGACCATCAGCTTTTTGGTTAGCAGTTTAGTGCGTTAACCGTTTGCACCACCCGGGGACTCTGGTGGGCTCCTAGCTTCCTGGTTATGGACAGCCTGCACCGGAAGGGCTAGGCTGTTAAGAGACCTCATCTGCATCATCTGAAATGCAGGTGGGAAAGTGAAGCATTGGTTTGGGTAACTTTCCCTAGTAGCAGCGTTGGGCCTGACTCCTACCTTTGTGTGAATCAGGGACAACACTCAAGCCTGCTCAGATATTTGAGGAGCAGTAAAGCAGGATCTGCAACTAGTTGGAATGTTGCACCCATCCTGAGGGAATGGTACTTTAGACCTTGGGGGCTGTGCGGTGGAGGAAACCAACACTTGCTGAGCCTCAGTGTACATGTTTTAAATGTGGCAAAGAGCTATAGATAGCTCTCGAGGTAGGTGATGTTATCCCTGCTTATGGGGCCCAGAGAGGGAACTATTTTTCTCCAGGTTATGCCAGGATTATGCTGGAACCAAGAAAAGCTGGAACCTGGGAACCACTGTGTTATTCATCTCTCAGTGCAGAGGCAGCTTATGAAGTAATACCACTGTTAATTGGTAGATGCTACTGCTTTACGTATGCTAACATTTAACTGTTAGAATCAAATGGCTCTCATCTGCCTACTTCCCGCCACCTTTACTAGCATCCTCTGGCCTACTAATGTGTATAACTCCCTCATAGGTCTTCCTGCTGCCATTCTTGCCCTCCTACAATGTATTTTCCTCCTAAACAGCAGCCAGAGTAACCTTTTGAAAATGTTAACAATCATTTCACTTCTCATTGCTTTTAAAATAGATACAGTTTTCTATCATGGTCTGTATAGCTTAGCTTGACCCTTGCTAACTTTATACCCTCAATTCATTTCTTACTTTTTTTTTTTCTCCAGTCACTAAATTTCAGCCACACTCGCCCCTGTTTGGTTTTTCAAACATGTAAGACCTTTTCCTGACTTAAGGCCATTACAATGGATGTAGGATTATTACTTCCTACATCCATCAGGTTTCAGCTCAAGGTGTCCTCAGAGAGACCCTCCCTGAACATCCATTCCAATGGTTCTCAACTAGGCACAATTTTGCACCTTAAGGGACTTTGGCAATCCCTAGAAACGTTTTTGTTATTGTAACTGGGAGGGTGCTGCTAGCATCTAGTAGGTAGAGACTAAAGCCCATTGCTGTCTAGTTCATTCTGACTCATAGCACATCATACTGACCCCTCTGGGGCATAGTAGAACTGCCCCGTAGGGTTTCCAAGGCTGTAATCTTTCTGGAAGCAGACAGCCACATCTTTCTCCTGCATAGCAGCTGGTGCATTCGAACCACAAACCTTTTGGTTACAGCAGCTGAGCACTTAACTCGGTCACCAGAGTTCCGTGGGTAGAGACTAGGGATGCTGCAACTATCCTGCAATGCACAGGACACCTCAAAATGTCAGTAGTGCTGCTATTCAGATTTAAAAAAAAAAAAAGCCCTAACATATCCAAAGTAGAAGGAGCTCTGGTGGCACAGTGGTAAAGGCATTTGGCTGTTGACCAGAAGGTCAGCTTTTCAAACCCACCAGTTTTTCTATAGGAGGAAAATGAGGCAATCTACTTCTGTAAGGATTTCTAGCCTTTGAAACCTATGGGTTGCTACAAGTCAGAATCTATTTGATAGCAGTGGGTTTGGTTTAGTGAGCTCTGGTGGCACTGTGGTTAAGGCATTGGTTGCTAACCAGAAGGTCAGTGGTTCAAATCCCACAGTTACTCTGTGGGAGAAAGGTGAGGCAATCTGCTTCTGTAAAGATTTTACAGCCTTAATCCTATGGGGGTTACTATGTGTCTGAATTGACTTGATGGCAGTGAGTTTGAGTTTGGTTTGATGTCTAAAATAGGGCCTCTTCCCCTTCAGGTTATGCTGTGTGGTAGTTAAAGTTATGTGTCAACTTGGCTGGGTCTGGTTTTGAGTGGCTGGGCAGTTGGATGTAGTTATTCCCCATGATGAGATTGGTAATCAGCTCCATGGAATCTATGGGAGCAGCTGAGTAGCTGCCTTGGGGATGTGGTCTCCTTCCAGTACATAAGGAGACGTTTTAAGAAAGGTCTCTTCAGCTTTTTGGCATGCTTGGATGCTATACATAGCCAAATCTTCATTCATCAGCCTGCCATGTTTCCTGCCGATCTTGGGATTGTCTCTGGACTTGAACCATGTTGCCTACCATGTTGTTTGCTAATCTTGGGACCATGCCATTTTATTTGAAGACCTTGGGTTTTGTCAGCCTCAGCAGCCAGGGACTGCCTGAGTGAAGAGACACCTGCAGCTTCATTGGGCCGGGAGCAAGAGACAGCTGAAGCCAAAGGTTGAGGGGCTTTCACTCAGCCCCTAGAGCTGGCACTTTGAACTTGGACTTCTAGCCTCCTAAACTGTAAGAAAATAAATCCCTGCTTGTTAAAGCCATCCATTTGTGGTATTTTCTGTTAGAGTGGCACTAGAGAACCAAAACAGAATTTGGTACTGAGAGAGTGGGGCACTGCTGAAGATACCTAAAATGTAGAAACAGTGGAGTGTGTCCTTGACCCAAGATCCCTGTGCTGAGACCCCAGCAGAGACGGCAGCAGGAGTAAGAGACTGGCATGAGACAGCAACAGCATTCACAGCCCACAGAGCAAGAAGGCATGAAGATTGGCAGAGTGGGTTCCCTTAGGGCATTAATTGGCAGAAGCTGAGAGACCAAGGAAGAGGGAAACAGAGCTACCTTAGCCTCAAAGGGTAGGACTATAGCCTCTGGGGGTGGAACCACCACAGCTTCTTAGGTTTCAAGAAGTCAGACCTTCACCAACTTGGTTCTGGAGTGTAGGGCTGCCATTAATGAGGGCCAGTGGGATGGGGCCATAGCCGCTGCCCAAAAGTGAGGGGACAAGGTTGCCATGCCCAGGGAGCAGAGGAACAGGCCTGCCTGGCCAAGGGGGTGAGGTCATCACTCAGATGAACTAGGGGACTGGAGATACCCAGTGAAGGAGATACGTACAGATGCCAAGTGACAAGGGGTAGAATTGTGGTAGTTAAGTTGTATGTCAGCTTGGCTGGGCCTGGTTTTGAGTGGTAGGGCGGCTGGCTATAGTTATTCCCCATGATGAGACTGATAACTCCATGGTGAAATCTAGTGGAACAGCTGAGTAGCTGCCGTGAAACCAAAAAAAACCTCACTGCCGTCAAGTCAGTTGACTCATAGCGACCCTTCCTTGGGTTTCTGAGGCGGTATCTCTACGGAAGTAGATTGCCCACTCTTCCTTCTGAGGAGTGGCTGGTGTGTTTGAATCGCCGGCCTTCTGGATAGCAGTCAAATGCCTTAGGCACTACGTCACCAGAGGTTCCCAGTAGCTGCCTTAGGGATGTGTATTAGAAGAAGCATTGAGAAAGGTCTCTGAACTTCTTGGCATACTTAGACCCTGCATGTAGTGAGTCTTCATTCATCAGTCTGCCATGTTACCTGATGATCTTGGGACTGTCTCTGGACTGGAACTAGTAGCCTGCCATGTTGTTTGCTAATCTTAGGACTGTGCCATTTTATTTGTTGACCTTGGGTTTGTCAGTTTCAGCAGCCAGCAGCAGCCTGAGTGAAAAGACATCTCCAGCTTTAGCAGGCTGGGAGCAAGAGGCAGAGCTGAAGCCCAAGGTCGAGGGGCTTTCACCCAGCCCCTAGAGCTGGCACTTTGAACTCAAGACTTCTAGCCTCCTAAACTGTAAGAGACTAAATTCCTGTTTGTTTCAAACCACCTATTTATGGTATTTTCTGTTAGAGCAGCACTAGAGAACCAAAACATGCTGCTTTATCACCTTCCTTGTCTATTTTCCAGACATGTGAAAGATTCTTATCTATTTTATTATAGTTTTTTTTTTTTTTTGCTTCAAGTCACAGTTTCTTACATCCCATCATTTCTTTTTCTGGGTTCATTTTCCTTCTTTCTGAAGCTTACCCTTTGATAGTTCATTCAGCAAAGAAGAATTTCTTCTCCCTCACTCTGAATGATATTACATTGATATAAAATACTAAACCAAACCAAACTCACTGCTGTCGAGTTGATTCTGACTCATAGCGACCCCTCCTTGGGTTTCTGAGGAGGTATCTTTACGGACGTAAATTGTCCAATCTTCCTTCTGAGGAGTGGCTGGTGGATTTGAACCGCCAGTCTTCTGGTTTAGCAGTCAAGTGCCTTAGGCACTATGCCACCAGAGCACCCTAAATATTAGGCTGACAATTATTTTTCCCTCTCAGTCCTTTAAAAATATTATTCTTTTATCTTCTGGTATCTGCTACTGCTGCTAAGAAGTTCCTGGTAGTTTGATTGCTAGTCTTAAGCAAAAACAAAACAAAACAAAACCTGATACTGTCTAGTCGATTCCAACCCTATGAGTTGTTGCTTGTAGGTGTGTGATAATTTTTTCTTTTTGGTAACTTTTAAAATGTTCATTCTTGATACTCACTTGTTTCACCATGCTAGAATTGCTTTTGTTGGAGCTCTGGTAGCATAGTGGCTAAGACACTTGCCTGCTAACCAGACAGCTGGCGATTCAAACCCACCAGCCACTCCTCGGAAGGAAGGTTGGGCAATCCTACTTTTGTAGTGATACTGCCTCGGAAACCCAAGGAGGGGTCGCTATGAGTCG